CCTAGAATGAGGCGGGGCCCATTTCTAAGGTTTTAAGATAGTCGAAGGGAGATCCCTAAAGCTAGATCATAAATCCTAAGAGAAAGACTAGACCTCGCTAAAAATGAGGTCAACAGAAATATTACACAAGGAAGGACATGTTTATAACATATTCTCACAGGAAATGGAAGATAAATGAAAAAACAAGTTTCTTATTTACATTTAATTATCTTTACATAATTATACATTCTTAATTTCTTATAGAAAAAAGATTTAATTATTTATGAATGTCATTTTATTTGTGTTTATAATTTAGACTTTAATGATAAGAAGAAACAAATTATGAATGCACATGAGGTTGAACATGATGATGTTTTTAATGAAGTGGATAATGAATGCGGGGAATATAAATGACGAAGTTATGATATGGACACAATTATTGGTGAAAGAAAAAAAATTTGATGATGAATTTGAAGAATGGGCAACCTTCCCGAATTGAGAACAATTGATCATTTTTTTTTTTTTTGACTCAAACATGTTTACTTATTTTTATATGTTTATACTTTTTGTGGTGTATTTTTGCTAATATCTTGAAGAGTAATTCTAGAAGACTTGTTTTGAAATTAAATGAGTATGAGTTATTTTAATACATAAGAATATTTTTTTTATGAAGCACAAGTTGTTTATTTGTTTAGCTTAATATTTATTTTTCTTATTATTTATTTTATATTGTGGGGCTTACTCCATTCGTCTTGGGGCTTATGCCTCGCCCCATAACAACTAAAACACGCCACCCAATGCCTACGCCTACTCCTTTTAAAAAATGTGCACAGAAAAAAAATTCAGGGGCATTATATGGGGGACACCCATCCATGCACCCCCTGGGAAAACTCACCGTCAAGCTTGATTCAAAAAATTTTGGACTTGGTGGCCAATTGATTGATACAATTAGGCTCCACATAATAACACATCTAGTTAAATATTCCTCATCCCTAGGTTTGTTGGTGCCTTTTGCTAAAGATCAGCTTTGCTTGTATTAGGAAAAATTCAAAAACTGCCATAGTTCATTCTTTAAAATATTCTGAAAACAGCCAATCGCTATATTATTTTCTATAGAAACTCGAAGTTAATATCCTTCGCCTGACAATAAATAATAGCGTAATGCCAAAACACCGCCGCTGACTTTAAGCCAAAAACTGCCGTTGATGTGGAAAATATATACTATGGCAGCATACTGGAATTAACGGTGAAGCTTAATAAACCGCGGACACCACACCACCTCCACCTCTTAAGCTACAACCATAGCAGTTTGCACTTTAAAGGCTTCCAAAGCCATTGCTCAAGGTTAAATCCACTCATATTAATTCAAAATCGACAGCCTTAAAAAATTCCAGCGCTGAAAAATTTTCCCCATTTCTCCTCAAAATTTATTTCGGATTCTCATAATTGTGCTAAATTGTCAGTAAATGAATTACACCAATGTTGCCTTTATGTTGATTATTCATTGTTAATTGAAATAACAACCATAGCTAATCCACAAAGATAAGGACTCACTGCTGATCCTTGGTTAGGGATTTTTTTGAAGGACATTTACATACCTACCACTCAATTCCCATGTAATTACATATATAACGCCAAAACTTTACTTTTTACATTATACCATCGTTGAAAAGGCATTCGAGGCTTACACCTTGAGGCGTGCCTCAAATTGAGGTGCACAAAAAAGCCTCGAGGCGCGTGCCTTTTTTCATTTGAGACTTGTGCCTTAAGATTATAGGCCTTAAGGCATTTGAGGCATCTTTATTGAGTTATGCAAAAAAAAATAAAAAGTTATATTTCATTATTTTTAATGTATCTAATATAATGCCTCAAAAATGTTAAAATATAATTCAACTATGATTACTTGATTATGTTATTAATTTATTTATTTATTGTAAATTATACTTGATTTAAAATTAATTAATAGTAAGAACATTATAATAAATGAAGATCATTTTAAAATTGTCAATTAGACATAATTAGTGATAATAAATATGATGATGTTTTAGAGAAGATAAAAGTAAAGATGAGGCTAATATGGATTTTTGAATCACGTGTAATATTTAAATTTTAAACGAATATTTAGTTAGAATCAAATCTCAAATTTCTATTTTCTATCAAGATTTACTATTAAGCTTTGTGATTTGTCTTTATGATAATAAATTAAATCACTATATCAATGGTTCGTCATATTTGTGAAGTTTTTAACTTTAACTTAAGCCTCGATTCGCCTCATCTTGCTAAAGCAAAATATCTCAGTTCCCGATTTTGCCTTTATAAATTTGATTTATGCCGTCCAAATCTATTTCCACATTAAAATACACCCATTTTAACATTTAAAATGTGAAATACAATTTTTCATGTATAGCCAAGATGGTTTGTTTGTAAAAATTAAATTATAAATGTTAGATATGTCAATGCTTAGGAATTAGATGGATGGATGTAAATGCCCCATTTTTTTTATATATATAAATAAATCTACTTCACAATGAACTTCAAGTGTCACTTCTCGTAAGTTTGAAATTTGTAAAGAAAGAATAAATATGTATTCGAGAAATGAATCAACTTTTATTGTATCTTATTATCCTTGTTGTAGACTACTCTGTTGCATAACAGATTATTTGAGTTATTTATTCTGTTCCAATATTATCTGTAAACTGATTAGATTTTTTGTTGGGTTGATTGCAGTCTACATCTGGTGCTAGCAGCATTTCACAGAAAGCAGGGCTTGCAGCTCTAGGTTTGGGCTATGCGGGTGGCGAAGCCGTTGCTACCATGGTTAAAGCTTTCCAGGAACGGCGAGATTTCCTTGTTAAAAGCTTCAAGGAACTAGAGGGCGTAAAGATATCAGAACCCCAGGTGTCCACACAAATCTTCTTCTCAAATTAGGGTTTGATTAGCATATTGTGAAAAAAAATTAAGAGTATTTGAAGATGTTGGTAATATAGATTTTATTTTCTCCCTAAAAATTATAGCAATTTTCTTACTGCTAACATAATTAGGTTTGATTAGGATATTGTGAAAACAAATTTAGAGAATTTGAAGATGTTGGTATTATAGATTTTATTTTCTTCCTAAAAATTATAGCAATTGTCTTACTGCTAACGTATTTAAGAATACGAACAAAATGATCACTGACTATTTGTGAGTGTCATTTTAATCCCACACTATAGAAAAATTTTCATTTAATTCTTGAAATTTTAAAATATGAGCCAAAATGAAATGAAAATTGAAATTGAAGTTAACACCGGCATTAAAAATGAGGCAATTTTGAAAATTTACATATTGAAATTTGTATAAAATATAACATCTTGTTTGTCTTGTTTGGGATATAAATTTTTCGTTAACATTTCTATCCTCTTACATCATTTTCAAATATTTTGTGATGAAATGAATACATATTAGATTTAGAAATTTTAGCAATTTTTATTAATAAAGTTCTTGCAAAATATCTGAAACAAAAGTCATTTATTACGTTTGTAAAAATTTCAAGATATAAATTCTTAAAAATTATGCCTGCTTATGTTTTAAAGATTCAGTGGCTAATTTGAATCTTTTATATACCCTAAAACTGATCACCTTGGTCTTTTTCTCTAACACATTAAAAAATATTTGTTTATGCAATGCTCTTTTTTTATCATAGAATTGCTTTAAAAATAGAAATACAACCCCAGTTCACCCTTATGTTAAATATATATGAGTTACTCATAATCAGCATAGTTTTTTTTATATATATTTTTATAAATCATGCCTTTTACAGGGTGCTTTCTATCTTTTCATTGATTTGAGCTCTTATTATGGAACTGAAGTAGACGACTTCGGCATTATCAACGGCTCAGAATCCCTTTGCAGATTTCTTCTAGACAAGGCAAAGGTGAAGCACAGCCTCTCATTCCTCTGCATCTATTTAAATATAGGGACATTTATATACATTCCCCACAATTTTCATGTATTTACATATCTAACGCTTAAGCCTTCATATTTACATTTACAACACCCAAACCTTTAACATCACATAAAAAATATCACAATTATTTTTTGAAAGTGAAATACTCTTTTTTTCATGGAGTAAAGTGCTACAATAGTCCCTGAATATTTACATGGGGTCATTTTAATCTCAGAGTTTATAAAAATATCAAATACAGCTCCAAATTCTTTAAATTAGGGTTGAAATAGCCCCCATTAAAATAATCGGAGACTATTTTGACACTTTTATAAACTCTTGCATTAAATGACCCCACGTAAATAGTCCGGGGACTACATTGGTATATGACACCTAAGTGTTACAACTGTAAATATGAAATTTTAGATGTTAGATATGTAAATACATAAGAATTGTGTGGTATGTATGTAAATTTCTCATAAATTAAATGGAAGTAATAATTGAATTCTTATTACATGGCAGGTTGCTCTTGTTCCGGGAGACGCATTTGGTGATGATAAGTGCATAAGGATATCTTATGCAGCATCGCTTGCGACGCTGCAGGATGCAGTAAGTAATATCAAAGAGGCTTTGCTCTCTCTAAGGCGTCCAGTTCCTGTTTAAACGGTAGCTGCTCGCTCTTGCATCCACTTGTGTTGTTTTTGTTGTATTACCTATTTTTCCTTATTAATCAATGAGGAAACAAACTAAAGCTTTTCATTTTGATAAATCCTGCTATTGATTTAGCAATGTTATTTAGTATGAAATAAAGTCATTTTTAATTTCTTACGTATTTGCTAAGTTGCTAAAATTAATGTTTAAGCTATGCATTATTGAACTAGTCTTTTAGATAACCGCAATAAAACCAGGAGCACAATTTTAAGGCAGACCCCTCTTGCAATATTATATATTTTGGTGTACTTGCATACATACCACCCAATTCCTATGAATTTACATACCTAATACCTAAATTTTAATTTTTAAGTTTATATCACCCAATTTCTTGATATCACATCGAAAATACACATTTTCATCCATAGGTAAGGTGTTGTGGATGTAAAAATTGAAGTTTAGGTGTTGGATATGTAAATACATAGAAATTGGGTGGTATTTATGCAAATCTTTCTTTTATTAATGTGCTTTGTCTGATTGAGCGGTGATGTCATATTGAGAGGACGTTGTTTGTGGAATCTTTTTAATCCTAAATGGAAGGGTAGATTTGTTATTATAATATTAAAATTATTAGTTTTATTTTAATCTTAAGTTCTAAAATGTATTGATTAGAATTTTGGTGTGCAAGATTTTATGTAGATGTAGATCTTTCCAGCTTTGTTGTCCATATTTCTTTATGGCATGGGTTGCTGGATGATTCTCGGTTTAGGAATGTTGTGGCTATTAAAAGAGATTGAGAGAAAATAGTGGGTAGGATATTACTTTTAATGAATTAATAAAATAAAATGAGAACTTTAGATAACTAATATTTCCTATTATCTCAGAAACTCTCAAGGCCATGGTCTTGTGCTCTGCCTCTGATATTGAACTCACTACTACAAATTGTTTCTTGCTCTTCAAAGAGACCAAGTTTGCCCCCTACGAACCTGCAGTATTCTGATGCGAATCTTCTATTATTAGCACAACTTGCATAGTAAGCATCACAATAGCCCTTAATGTATGCATGCTCATTCTTCCTAAAGCTCAACCCCTTCCTTGACGTGCTCTTTAGGTACCTCAAAATCTGATACAATTCGTCCATATGATCTTCCTTAGACCATGCATATGGCGGCTCACAACACTCATTGCAAATGAGATATCAGGATGCATGTGACTTAGATAGATCAGACGACCTACCAATCTTTTGCATCTCTCACGACCAACTTACTCTCTCATCTTTGCACTCAGCTTGACTTTCTGATCAATTGGAAAGACTGCAAGCTTGCATCTCAACATATCTATTTCTGTGAGGAAATTCAGTACATACTTTCTCTGAGACAAGACCATACCCTCTGGTTCACAAGCCATCTTTAATCCCAAAGAAATATCTAAGCTGTCCAAGATCCTTCACCTCAAATTATTTACTCAATCTTACTTTTAGCCGAGCATCTTTATCTTATCATTACCAGTGATATTCATGTCATCAACATACACAACAAGCATAGTGATGTGTATGATCGACATTGATCTGCTAATATCTCATGCCCACCATAGCTTTTTCTAAACTTATCAAACCAGGCTTGAGGAGATTGCTTCAAGCCATCAAGCAACTTCTTGAGGTTGCACACCTTGCCCACTATTTGACCTTTACCAAATCCTGGTGGTATGTCCATATACATCTCCTTTAGTAACTCATCATGAAGAAAAACATTCTTCACATCGAGTTAGTGTAACATTCACCCACCATTCACAACAAAAGAAACTAGTGTTTTCACTGTGCTTGCCTTCCCAGAAAGTCATGGTCTCTTCGGTTCCTTCCCAGTAAGTTGCGATATGGTTACAGAGCCGCGCCAACAAGCAGCGGTCACTTTGTTGCCTTTTCAGTGAACCGTGATAGTGCCGTTGCCTTCCCATAGAGCCACGATCCTGTCATTGCTTCTCAGTTGCGGCAGCTTCGCGATGATGAATCAGAAGGAAGATACGTTCCCAGTCGTTGTTGCTCGCATCGATTAAGTTGCAAATCCCGCCGTTACCTTCCCACATTGATCTAAACGACAACGGTCGGCTGTTAGGTTTAGGCTATGATACCATAAATAAAAATCTCCTTAACTACCTACCAATACTTGGGTATAGAGATAGTCTCTAAAGATGCAATGAAAGCTTTGTGTGCAGATATTATGTGAGATAAACCGAGCAATGTTATGTGAGAAATCAAAACAATCTAGAAAATAACGATCAGGAGAACGACCCGCATTACTGTGAGAGGTCTTCCTTAAAGCCATGGGAGTGGGAGAAGGGAGATGATCCATGGTGTGGAAGGAGAAGGAAGAGGAATCATATCACCTGAGTAATCGGATTCTGGAGTAGGTGTATGTGTATCAGGAATTAGGGTGGATCGGGACATGTAACTTGATGACATGAGTGACACGACAGACACTATTCTTCATTCTGCCTCGTCCTTGTATACACTCCCAGCTCCCTTTGATCTTGAATCAATCAATTTCCACATGTTTGGTTTCCACATGACATTGCTCTTTTTGTCTCATACTCTAACATACCGTCTGCACACTTAACTTTCATTGCATCTTTGGATACTATCTCTTTACCCAAGTGTTGGCAACTAGTTAAGGAGATTTTTCTTCAAAAGTTGATTAATTAGTGAGTCTTAATTTGTTTGAGCCATTATACTCTATAAATACCTCCATTCCATTCTAGGTGCATGATGATATGAAAAAAAAAAAAAATGAATGAATTCCTTTTCTTGTATTTAATTTTATTTTCATATTTTTTTAATTTATTGGAGTTTGAACTGCTCAAAATGTACTATTAGCTGATTCTTTACTAGATCTTCATAACCTTAGTCACAAATGCATAAATCATCATTACAACTTCTGCCAATTCCACATCTACCGTTTTTACTACAAGAAACCTCTCAAGAAAATGAATTGTGCTTGTTGTCTTATCCTCCACTACCAAGTCAACTTTTTGTGGCTAAACCGTCCCCTTCACTAGACCTCTCAAGATAATGCCATCTTTCAAGAAAAGCACTAATGTTAGGACCCATGATATTAATTTGAATATTTTTAGCTGTCCAGACTCCCGAAAGAAGAAAATAGAATTAGATGCAAGAAGGGCTACTCATTCTTTCTTTCCATGTTATTATCCTCCCCGAATGAAGCTATTTATAGAAACAAAGCGTCAAACAAATGAGCTCTCACTAATTAGTCCACTTCTTTCTATCAACTATTTAGGGTTGGATTGACAATACAAGGTTAGCACGTTTCATCTTTGATGATTTTTAATTGGCGATTGTCTTCTAAATCATGATTGTTCCAAGTTGTTCCTGCATTTGACTCTCCTTCACCGGCAACGCCTTTCATTTCTTATTTGCATCCATAGCACTCCAAACATTGCTATTTACAAAATTAACACCCTTTTTCATCCATTTTTCAAATTCTCACTCAAGCATCAATATCAAAATTTGCTATAAAACCCCATCTCTTATTTTTTATTTTTATCAAATTCGCAATGGTTGGATCATGGCTCATGTAAATACATTGGTTCAGTCGTTCAAAAATTCATCTGGATGTTAGTTTTGTAAATAGCAATGTTTCAAGTGTTATGTATGTAATTATCCCTTCCTTTTCTTTTAATGTATTAAAATCTCACACATCTACCTTTAGAGATTAATTATAACTTCACTTGACTGAATTGTTATTGATGTCGGCTTCTTTCCAGATTTCTTAGACCTGAGCCCAATCAATATTCTTTTATCGTTCTAATGTCTTTGAAAACTTCCCTTCGTGTACTTCTTTTTCCTACTGCTTGGTAATATGAGATGTATTAAATTCATACCGGCAATCCCTACCCATTATTACTTAATATTACTTAACTAGTCTTTATTTCTTCATCATATATTTCCTATTTCCTATTTTATTTTATTTTGTTTTATTTATTCCTTTATTGTGGCGATTATAAGTGGGTTTAAATACCCTGTCTTCTCTCAATAAAATTATGCTGCTCTAGTCACAAATTCAATATGGTATCAGATTCATGGCTCTAACCCTAGAGGTCCGCCGACCACTTACAGGTCTTCTTTTGTAGCCTGCCAACAGCAACCTTCCAACAATTGATCCTTCTTGCTGCTAATCCTTCCAATTGGCCCTGTGTTCTTCCTGCAGATCCTTCCTCCCGCAAAGACCCCATCTGCCGATAAGCCCAGTAGCTCCTCTAGCCGGCCTCACTACAGGACTTCCTATTGGATTATTTTTTTTTTCCATCGTGAGGCCTCCCTGCATGACTGTTTGTCGTTTGTTTCTCTTGCCTACACGATCTACCCTGTTGTTTGTTCCAAAAGATGTTTTTTGAGCCGCTGGGCATCCATCTTGCCAGTCTTTCCTATGTCTTAGAAACCTAACATCACCTTTGGCTTTGTTGGAAAAATGACAGATTCCTCCGCCATCGAACCTCTTACTGACGGTGTGAATGAGTCCACCGGAGGATCGTCGTCGACTCCTACCGGGAACAAACTGCAATCGTCCAAATCCCTGGAAAATCAGATGGAACAATTAATCAAGCTACTTTGAGTAAATCAATTCTCTGCAATTCTGTCGACCTCCCACGTCTGACAAAGTTTTCTTCCTGTTGCACTCGAGTCTCTTTCTTCCTCTAATTCGTGGATTATTGATTCAGGTGTCAAAGATCACATGATAGGGTGCTCGAAAGCTTTCTCTTTATACTATTCATGTTATGGGAAAGATGACTCTTGTAGTTCTATTGTTGGTAAATGGTTGATTGTACTAAAGACTGATCTAACTATCGAGTCTGTTTTACATGTTTCTCTATTGCAATGCAACTTATTATCTATCAGCTAGTTGACGAATGATATTGTGTTAATTTCTCTTCTGATTGTTATGTTTTTAAGGATCTTCGTTCGAGAATGACGATTGAAACTACTAAAAGGTTAGCTAGACCCTACTACTTCCAAGAGAATGGTACGGAGAGTGAGAACACTCCACTCGTGAGTTGTAGTTTATCTCGAGCCATTGAATGCCCCATCATGTTATTATCGTTTGGGTCATACTAGTTTCCAATATTTGAAAAAGATGGTATCTTTTTTTATGTTTTCTAATAACAAGTTTTCTAATTTCAATTGTGAGACATGTTAATCAGTCAAGCATCATGGGGTCCACTACCCACCCCACACTTACACATCTCCTGCTCCTTTCTCTTACTTACAGTAACAAATGGGGACCCTCTCACACTCCCAGCTACGTCAATAAACGGTGGTTCCTGACTTTGATTGATAACCACACTCGGATGACGTGAGTATACATTTTAAAATACAAATCAGAGGTTGTTGTCACCTTCTAAAACTTCAACATATTCATTTTAACTCGATTCAAAACTCTAATTCAAGTCCTTCAATCTGACAACGACCGTGAATTTTTCAACTTTATTTTGTGTGAATTCTTGGTGAGTAAGAGTATCCTCCACCATAACTCGTGTGCGAACATTCCTTAACAAAATTGGTAGCTAAGAGGAAAAACCATCACTTCTTCGACGTTGCTCGCTCCATTATGTTTGAATCTAATGTCCCGAAACGGTTTTGGAACGATGTCATTTTTACTGCTACTTATCTTATAAATAGAGTCTCCTCGAAAATTCACAAGTTTCGCACCGCCTTAATTGTCCTGATGTCATGCTTCATTGCTAATTAGTCTTCTCCACATTAGATCCCATGATTTTTGGATGCACGATCTTTGTTCGAAACATTGCTCCTACCCGGAGTAAACTTGATATCAGATCCATAAAATGTTTCTTCTTAGGGTACTCCGTCACTCAAATGGGGTATTGTTGCATTGATCCTACCACAAACAAAATTTATGTGTTTCGATGACCCTGCATTGATCCTACCACAAACAAAATTTATGTGTTTTGATGAACCTGTGTTTGTAAGTTTTCACTATTTTCCTAACTTGGCCTCAAATGAGGGGAAGCTTGAGTTCTTAAACACTGTCATTTATCCTACTCCTATAGATGTTCCCCCCATTGTTCCTACCACTGAAAAGTTTCCTATTTCATTGAGTGCACAATCTCCTCGTCCCATTATCCATGTATACACTTAGTGCAACCGTCCTGATGCTCTACTCTTGTGTATTTTACCTCTTTATATGACCTTGACTTCAATCCGGGTAACATAACTAACACAACCGCTCCTCCGAATGAGGAGGTGAGTAAGGTACGCAATTACACATGCTCCCTCTATTCTATGACAAAATGTTTCTTTTTTACAATTTATCGTCGACCTACAGAGCATTTGCTACTGTCTTAACGAATCATTAGATCCCAGCTATGATTGAGGTTGTTCTTATCGATCCAATCTGGAAAATGTTAACAATGGAGGAGATGAATGCCCTCTAGCGGCACCATATGTGGGACGTCGTTGATCTTCTTTAAGGTAAGTAAGTTCTAGGGTGTCGATTGATTTTTTAATGCCAAGTTCAACTCAAATTGATCCTTTGAACACAACAAAGCACGATTGTTCGTCAAAGGGTACTCAGTCTGAATTGGGTTTTATTCCAGCTAAATTTCAATAATTTGTTCTTAAATGGAAAGCTTACATAAGAGGTGTACATGTTTCTACCTTTTGGCTTTGACTCTACTGCATCTAGAGGGCAAGTTTGCAAGTTGTGAAAGTCTCTCAATGGGCTAAAGCAGCCCCCATAGGTTTTGTTTGGAAAGTTTACAACGGTGGTTGTGGGCCATGGTTTTCCTCGAACTCAATCATACACGTTCTTTTCTTCTGACATTCTTCTAATAGTCAGTAACCTTCCTTATTGTTTATATTGACGATATTGTTCTTATATGTAACAATCTGCCGACATTGTTGTTCTTGAAAGTTAATTCTTGTTAAGCTCTTTAAAATGAAGGGCTTGAGATCTATTTGATACTTTTTAGGCATGAAAATGACTCGGTCATCTTAGGGAATTTGTTTATCTCAACTCAAATATGTGATTGATATTTTGATAGAGAACAACCTTTTGTGCAAACTTATGGCTAATCCTATGGATCCTAATAAAAAATTATATGACATTCCCACTGTTGTATCTGTCAACAAGACTCATTACCAGCACCCTCGTAGGGAAACTCGTCCACCTTGGCCATACTCACCCCGACATTGTCACACAGTTGGTATGGTAAGTCAATTAATGGATGACTCCTATGAGCATCATCTCCAAATTGTCGATCAGATTCTCCACTATTTAAAAAGTACATTTTTCTCGTTTGTTTTTCTCTCGTCACACCTCTCAGACTATTGTTGTTTACACATGTTGATTGGGCTTGATTGGTTCCTGATCGACGTTCCATCTCGGGGTACTTATTTGTATGTAAAAAACTGTCACGTGGAAAAACAAAAAACAGTTTGTGATTGCCCAGAGAAGTGCTGAAGCTGAATTCTGGTTCATGTGTTTGGGGATCTGTGAAACTCTGATTACGCATCATGTTTCGTGAACTTCGTTTGCCAACTTCTGTCTCGTTATACTTATTCTGTGATAATAAGATCACCATCAGTATTGCTCACAATCCAGTATAGCATGATCGTACCAAACATGTGAAGATAGACAGAAACTTCATTAAAGAAAAAATTGAGTTCGAAAATATTTATGTTTTTATTTTTTATTTTTTTGAAATTGAGTTCGAAAATATTTATGTTTTTATTTTTTTATTTTTTTATTTTTTTATCCTCCAATGGTCAACTAGTGGGTATCCTCACTAAGAATCTCCTTGTCCTTTGTTCGATCAATTCAAATCCAAGTTGAATATGATCTATATCTATGCTTAAACTTGAGCGAGAGTATTAGATTTATAACTACAACACCTAGCTATTATTACTTAAATCTTATTTATTATTAGACTTATTCCTTTATTTTTTATTTTTTTATTTTGTTTTATTCTGTTTTATTTTTTTATTTATTGTGACAATTGTAATTGTGTTTAAATATCTCGTCTTCTATGAATAAAATTATGTTGCTCTAGTCACAAATTCAACAAAATATTTATATGCGTACCACACTAAATCAAAGTGTGTCGTACGTAAAAATTTCTAAATTTAATAGTATGATAATTATTTCTTAATTAAGACTAACAAATTAAAATCTTACTCATTTGTAAGTCATTTTAATCTGATAGTTGATAGATTGGATCTTCAAGAAAGAGTCAAGAGTGTAAGGTCCGTCATATAATTTTCATGTATTTATATATTTAACATGTAAACATTTATATTTACTTCCATGCAATTTAATCCTTTACATCACATAAAAAATATTATCATTAACATATTTTTAAATATAAAATATATATTTTAATGTATAAATTTATGATATGAAAATATCATTAATGAAAATATCAAATTTGAAGTGTTCCATATGGAAAAACATAAAGAATTGTGTGATTTGCATGAAAATTTTGCTTAAAGAAAAAACTACTGGTAAGTCCGCTGCATCGGAAAAATCTTCAAGTTGACCGTCAATAGCCCGCCTTAGCTGATGGGCCCCACGTGCATGTTTATGGGGGAAGGAATTGCTGGCCAAGTGGTTGCAGTTGGCCTGCTACAGAAACGGCCACAAAAGGGGACACGCTGTCGCTGTACGGCCATCTTCGTGTTGTCCGGTAGCACTTCCAGCTCTCCTACAAAACATACCTGCAGACGGCTGCTGCGCCTTCAGTCATCTACGAAAAACCGTTCGCGAAGGGGTCAGTTTTTTTTTTTTCTTCTGCCGCTTCTTTCAGATCCGATTAGTGTTCATTTGGTGGTTCAGAATATGAAATTTTAATTCGGCCCTTTTTTATATTTAAAGCTTTTGAATTTTCTGGGTCCTATTGCAGAATAAATGGGTTTTCTTCTTCTTTTTCTTACGGAGATTTTTCTCGTTTCTGTACTTCCGGGTTTGGGGATCTGATGGCAGAGTAACGCTTGGGTGCTCGTGCCTTCGTAAATTTTATTTTGGGCCCTTTGATTCCTTGCACATATAATGCAATTAGGGTTTAAAGCCTTATCTTTCAAGTTGTGGGCCATAATTTTGTCCCAGTAAGGAAGACTCGTCTAATAGACTTAGTTGCAAAGTCAATCTTAGTTTGAAGCAGGATTTAAGTTAAATCCAATAAAAAAAAAAAAAAAAAAAAAAAAAAAAAAAAAAGTCAATTTGAAATCTAAGTTTTAGAAAATGTTGTCTTAAATCCCGAATATATTATATCTAGCTGTTAGCAGGAAATCTAAATGTACAGGATTTATTCAGCTGCTGAAGCCTTTATCAGTCACTTGGGGGCTGTTTGGTAGTAGATTTGAGGAGGATTCAAGTAAAGATTTAACCTACAAATTGTCAAACGTAAAGAACTGACAAACTTTAGTAGGGTAGGGAGAAGACAAAGGGTTTTAGAACCTCCCTTTTTCCAAGCACGCTGTCCCTTCAACGCCGTCTGTAGCTCGATCTAGCCGAGACTTGCTTGCTCAAGACGAAGGAAAAGCCGAGAGCGTTTCAATGCTTTGGGTAGTTTCATATTTTTTTTTAATAAATTTTAAATTTGTATTACTTATGATATTAATTAAAATAATGTTGTTAATTAATCTTACTATTCTTAATCAATTCAAAATAATAAAAAAAATGGTTAATGAAGATATTATTTTAGATATGATCTTTTTCTTTATTTGATTTAATTAAACAGAATTTATTTTTTATTAACATAGCAGATTCTTAATAAGCTATTAATTAATATACTATCATTTGCTAACTATACTTTAATTAATATAGCTACCAATTGATTTAGGCTAAATATTAATTAGCTTTAACGAAATTAATATTGAACTATGTGAACTTACTAAATAAAAATTATTATTTAATTAATTTAGCAGATTGCTTAATAATAATTAATTGAGATGATGTAACTAGAAATAGTAATGTTTTCTGAAATAAATTAGATATAATTATTAACTTGAATATTACATAAAAATTATTATTTTTAGACGTCTTAACGAGTTACTAATTATTTATTAATCAGAAATTGTTTTACACAAATTATGATTAAATTTATCTGAAATTGAAATATGTCAAATAAAAATAACCATTAAAATTTTAGTTGACCTAATTAACTGAAAAGCTTGAAATAGACAGCCAAATAGTTATCATGATTTAACCTCATCGTACCAAACAGATTTCAGTATTTACTAAAATGGGATTTACAGGATATACTAAATAGGAAATTATACTTGAATTAGTTCTTACTTGTAGCCAAACAGCACCTTAGCGTTGATTTTCAATATTTAGCGATTTGTATAACATCTAATTTAAGTTTCTCTTTCACTGGATTTGGTCAGATCGTTTTGTCCGCATTTTTATTACTACTACTTTTAGCGAATCGAATTATAGGTTTGATTAAAAAGTGATATTCTTCATAGTTTTCTTTGCAGTGCTTCCCCTGCTACTCTGTTCATTCAAGTGTTATTAGCTCATGATAATAGATGGAGGTGATGAGATGAATTATGGAGGTTTTGTTAATGACCGAAGAAAAGAAAATGTTACGGCGGACAAAAATATGTTAGAACGTACAAAAATTTTTTCATAATAAATTAATTTGTGGGGAGGAAATCGGGTTAGAATAAATATTATGAATTTGATCATTACTAAATTTTATAAATTATTTGAAGGCATATATAACTAATCAATCAATTTTTTTTATGTTTTACTCTATCCACTACTTTTCAGATTTTTAAAAGTTTAACTTGATTCTAGCTAATTAAATTTTAATCAGATACTTATCCTATTTTTTGCAACTCCTTCATTGATACTCAAAACTACATTAAAATCTTTTTTAAACAATGCTGCAACACAACTGGGAAAAATTAAAGATATATATATAAGGCGCATATGAAGATTTTTTTCTCTTTCTTCCCTTCCCTTTCCCTATCATATAACACAAACTTTAAACATATCTGCATATTTTCGTCGGGATGCTAAAACTTGATTTTTTTTTATTTTTTTTATTTAGATATGTTGGGGTAGTTGCGAAGCTAAATGTAATTTGGAGGAGTTTATTTCCCTTCCCTTTCCCTATCATATAACACAGACTTTAAACATATCTGCATATTTTCGTCGGGATGTTAAAACTTGTTTTTTTTTAGATATGTTGGGCTAATTGCGAAGCTAAATGCAATTTGGAGGAGTAAATTAATAAAGAATGAGTTTGGCGTGTATTGCATGCAATAGCATGGAGAGCCCAACTCGTACCTTGCGAAGCTACTCGGCCTCCAGCTCAGACAATGAGGGCCGATGTGCTGCCATGGTGAGCTGCCTCAGGCTGAAGGCTCATCCCACAACCACTCCTGCGGCTAATGCGGGCAAAATTACTTCCGCAAAGGTGGCTCCTGCGCTGACAGACATCACAAATGGAACTGATGCGCCTCGCCTCCTACGAAGCAGAGCTGTTACAAGAGACTTTGTGCGAGACTGGAATTTTGACCAGCATCTTTAGAGGGGGCTCATTTATATTTTTGTTTTTTTTTTTTTACTTTTCTATTTTAATTTTAATTTTTGTATGTTTCCATTTGAAAGAAAATATGTTTGACAGATTTGGGTCGTGGCAGTTTTTTACTAATGATTGTGGTATTTATTTTAAAAAAAAGTCAAAAATAATTTAAAATCATTTAATATCAAAGTTTAGGCCTGATACTCTATAGTTATAGCACCCACCCAAATATTTGATATCATATTTTACCCCAATTTTTATATTTTTCTCATAGTGATATTATTACGTGCCCAAAAATATCAGGCCTGCGTTATTTTAGTTCAGGACGCAGTATATCAAAATGATATAAAATGTATATAATCTGCCTAATCTAAATATTTATCTCTAGAAGTTTGTTAGCCGCTAAATATCCCGTTCAACCCTACAACCTAAGATGTTTACCTTAATTCAGTTCTTTTTAATTATTGGAAGACGTACTTACATTATACATAACCACTCCAATATTAGTATTTACATATCTCACACTTCAATTTTACCTTTTATATCACTTTTTTAAATATTAAAATAATAATATTTCTGATGTGATGTGAAACGTATAGGCTGTGCAGACATAAAAAATAAGGCGTCAGATGCCTAAATATATATCATGATTGGGTGGTGTGAATGTAAACGCCCCTTCTATTTAGCATAGTGAGAGGGCTCCCCGCCTCCCACCAAGAAATCATTTGAGAATTTATGATTTATGATTGAATTTGTCCAATGTCCCAAAAATGATGATAATAATAAAAATGCTCAGTTGCTTTATTTGAATAATCTTGTTGGCTTATTTATTTTTGTCGGAAAAGGTTAGCCCGAAGATAATATGCACAATTCGAAACATCGATAATTCTGTTTGTGTTGAAAGGTAGAGGATTATTTTGATCTAATTTTGATTATATAAGCTAACAAAATTTTCTAGCCCTTTTTATTACACTTACTGATATGAAATTTTAAAATATATGATAAAATCAGGATATCTAAAGAGAGACCCCAAATTTTTTTTAGCCCCAAATTTTTTTTAGCTACACTAACCACAAAATCCAATCTAATAAGCATTGCGATCTCTGTTTTCGTCCGGAAGCACATTAGCGAAGGGTAGAGAAGGATTTTGAAGAACATACCGATGGAGTGGAAGCTAAAACAGGGTCAGCAACTCCAGGAGGCTGATCTCTTGAGTGCGGGCTTCATGGCCTTATCTTCCTCAAGGGAGATCATTCCCACGTGGGAGGGATCCTCCAGCATCATCTTGGAAACCAGGTAGCCAGCTAGGGACCAAGTCTGGAACTTCCTAGCCTGCTTTCCAACGAACTGTCCCAATTTCCCATCATAGTATTCGGGCCAACCGTCCTTCAACAGACGCCTCTCCGCAAGTTCGATGGCTTTCCTTGCTACTTGTGGCCGGCCTGTCTTGATGCAGGCGGCGGTCAACATCCAAAGGAGAACTGTAACGGAGAAGCAAAATGGTTGGGTACTATAATTGTCGATTCATGCTTAGTAAGCGATGAAAATTCAACTGGAAATTTACATACTTGCCGAAAATTTTTTATGGATTTACATATCTATAACATAAAAGTATGACATTTACATTTATAACATACGTATAAAAAGATGCATTTGATTTTTAAAAAAAAATTACAAAAGTGGCAAATTTTGATGTGATGTTAAAAATTTTAATGTTTTTGAATGTAAAAAATGAAATTTAGGTGCTAGATATGTTAATTCTTAAGAATTGGGTGGCATGTATGCAAATGCCTTCAATTTAATCAATCCTGAAATAGATTCAATTGATACAAAATTTGGAAGTTTTTTTCAGTCTTAAATCTGAATTTTACTTAATTTGCTCCTCTAGTCAGGTTACCTGAAAGGATTATTATATAATCTTTCAAATTCCAACACCTCTCAATCTAATAAAATATCATTATTCTAACGGGAATAGTTTATTTTCAGATGAAAAAGATTATATTCAAGTAAGTGGAAGAATGCTAATCTGATAAATTAAAATATTCACATCATTAATAATGCAAGTGTCGCATTATTAAAAAATGTGACATCATTACATTAAAAATGTCCTCAGGTGCATCAACAAACAGTGATCATAAGACAATTACTATGTATTTATGCAGAAAAAAATAACAATTTTAAACAACTTACAAATCCGCTGCATCTTAGAACGCGGCATCTTATAAGATGCAGCAGTGTTGATCACATTAACATTAATTTATCTTCATTTTATAAATGCAAGAGAGAATATCTAGAGGTGTGAATGAGTTAAGTCGGGTCGAACACAACAAGTTAACGAGCTCATAAGTAAAGTTTATTGTGCCACGAGCTCAAGCTATTAACTCAAATATGGCTCTAGTAGATTCAAGCAGGTATATTATGCGAACCGAAGCTAGATTCAATCTCATATATTGTACGAACTCGAGCTTAGCCTAACACAGCTCAAGAGTTCATTTTTAAAAATACACGAACTCGAGCTTAGCCTAACACAGCTCAAGAGTTAATTTTTAAAAATACATTTTTTTTCCAAAATCTAGCTTTCTAGCTGCGCACAACTACTACTAGCTGAATTCTAGAAGCCGAGCCCGAGCCAACTAAACACCTCAAGAGTCTGCTAGATCAAAATGGCAAATATCAATAAAAATTAAGTAGATCGGTTTCATATTTACTAACCAGGCCAAGATCCTCCATTATGGTAACTCCATCTGGTATTCTTGGGATCACAACCTGTCACAATTCGCCACTCATGGCTCTCAATAGCAGGATAAGCAATTTTCAGGGGCATCTCACCAACCAGATCCTCCCAGCGTTCTTCAATAAGATCCATAACTGCAGTAGATTGTTCAGGGGTAGATAAACTGGACAAGATGGCGAAAAAATTGCCGAGTGCGAACCATCTGAAGTCCATTCGAGCAGGACTAACATTTCCTATGAAGTAACCACCGCGAGTGGGCATGAAATCAAATAACCAATCTGGTATGGAATCAGGAATGACATTAAACTTGTTTACTGCTGTGTTAGAGTACTCTTCTGTTTTGTAGCGATAGATGCAGTTGAGTTGCTGGAAGTCGAGCCAAAAGTAAGTTCGGATGTGGTAACTTAGAGCGTGAACTCGCTTCACGATTCGCTCGATAAATTCCTTCCCTTCCGTGTCATGTTTAACCAATTCGAAAGCGCACCTCAGTGCCATGAAGAAAAGGGCTTGGATTTCAATCGGATAACCGTAAATACCCTGTGGAATAAGGAAAGAATATGCATAGTAAAATTAAGGGAATTGAAAACAGGAATGAAGGAAAATGGTATAAATTTTAATTTGTTGAAGCTAAGAAAATAAATTAATAATTCTATCTTTTTTTTTTCTCCAGCATATACATGCTCTGTGAACTAACCAAGATTAAAACAACAACGATTTCTTATTGGGTAATTTAATACCATTGTTCGCTATGTTTTTTTGTTTTTGAATATTTAACTTATACAAACACAGGCCTGCATACTAGAAGGGGAAAGAAAATCTCCACCCTAAAAGGAGTTTTTGGGGAGTCAACAATTAACTGCTGCTACAATACTACCCTTTATCTTAATTCGTATAATTAACTGCTGCTACAATACTACCCTTTATCTTAAAAGATTATCGTATCAAAAAAAAAACAAAAAAAAAAACAAAACAAAAACAAAACAAAACAAAACAAAACTTAATCTAAAGAATTTGTTTGAGGTTTGGAGAAGCAACTGTAAAATTATTGAAAGCTACGAAAACTATTATAAATTTATTTTATTTTTAAAAAAATATGACCATAATTTTTTGGCACTCACCACACTTTAGTAACTTGGATAAAAAAACAACTTTCTATCACAAAAATTTTTAAAAAATAACAAGAAAGCATCTCCCCGAATAGAACTGCAGTGACGATCTAAAAATCAAAGCAGACAGAAAGTTGTCACAATCGGATCCAAAGTTTTGTGCTATAAAGAAGTCATCCTATCGTGAGGTTGTAAATGTCATCCATTCAAACAAATATAAACAATGGGCAGGTTTGAAGCAATAGTCAAGTTCTCCCTTGTGTATCATTGACGCTATTATTCTTTGTAAGTCGGGCGTTAAGTGATTCAACTGAATCACTATAAAATTGAACGTAATCTTTATTATTCTAAATAAACCAATAAAATGACATAATATTTCCTAGTATTATATTGCTGTTTTAAGAAGCAGATCATAACCCCAACCTAGTCAACCAGCAAACAACACTCAAGTAGATAGTAAACCATTTCAATTAAACAGCTTCCACATAAGCAAAATCCATTTTGAGAATATATGATTGAAAAAAAACGACATTATTTTATCAATACCATTCTTCGATCGATCATTGAGCAACCATCAGCACATAGTAATGTTGGAAAAGTGTCAAAACCCTCTGACAAGCATAAAGATAATATAAGCCTCATTCCCTTTTGGCAGTCAGGTGATTCTGCCAAAGATATGTCTCCAGTTGACTTGGTATAAGCTCTGAGAAGTATAATCCACCAGAAGCCGGAGTCAACGGGTGCCACCCTTCCAATGGCACTTTCACCAAAATCTGCAACTACTGTGTCAGTTTTCCGATTAGGGTCATGAAGCACCTTGAAGCTGGCTGGCATAGCACCTTCTCCAAGCTTGAAGCGGTCTATCTTCTTCTCCCAGCTCTGAAGCTGCAGAGTTTTCAATAGAAAATTCTTGACCACATAAGACTCCCCATTCATTAGAAAAGCCATTGCACTGGGAACAAAGTCACGTACAAACACCTGTTCACCAAAGTATGAAACTAATCAACAAAACCAGCTTTCAGCTGACCCCCAAGAAAAATTCAACATTAAACTGCTACAAAATTCCCTCCATTCACCCTAACTCTTGATTTTGCTTTTGCTTTTGTTTTTCGTCAATCTGGTGGCTACTATGCTTTCCACTACAAACCTGTTTTCTTGTGTGTCCTTATTAAATAATCAACAGGAAATATGAAGCCACAGAGATTAAAGTATCAATTAAACTGGAATACGGTATAATAAAAAAAAGTACATGACTGAAAGGCCTATATCACAAGATGTTCCGTCAGGCTACTTTATTATGCTGGGGAAAAATTAGTAAGAACTCTTCAAATTCGTCATCAACAGCCAAATGTTAAGGGTCTCAGATTACAATGGGAATATATGTGCGGCTGAGTAGTAAAGAGCTTCGGTTTCCTGCTCGGCACACATTAGAATGCACTCGCTAATTTCTGATTAAAAAAATGCAGAGTAGTGTTTACCACTCCGTTAACTCATCATTAATTTTGTCGCAGCAACATTGGTGATTTAAATTGCCCCCATCTCAGAGACAGTTGCAATTAGCTATCCCAGTAATTTCGATGGTGGGATTGTCTCTATAGATTCTGAAGATGTCAGATGGAATGAGTGAACTCGGATAGTCAATTTCATCAAGTAATCATGGATAATAGTATGGTATCTAAAATCCGAGCACGAAGTACGCGGTTAAAAGTGAATTACTAGCTGAGAAAAATGACACTTAATGGATATGTAAAAGTAAGCAAGTGTCTAGAGTTCCAACCATGCAAAGCATGAAACCATCTTAACAATTCTCACAATGGCCTAAAGCCATCAGCGCGATCATATCGAGAATGGTCGTGACTAGCTACTTGGTGTCATGTAGGCGATTGAGACTCGGTTAAAAAAAAATTATAATGGCAATAATTTGAATTTGTCCCTATGGAGATTAAATGTCTCCTCTCTGGAATCCAGAAATGCGCAACGTATTGCAATCTTAAATCATCTTATGCAAAAGTATTTTGGCTTTCAACTGAAATTGACATCTGTTACGGAACGTAAATGTGAACAAACCTGATCATAATTTAGGACCTCTTCAGATTGGTAATTGACGGCAGCAACAGTTCCAACAGGCTGGCCCCGAAAATACACCAACGATCGTCGGAGAGCCTCCCAAGCATCGACGACCATGGGATGCGGCTCGGAGAACCTTGGAGTCGATGCAGCAGGCGTTTGGAATCCTGACCTTGTCCCCATTTCCACAGTTGAATAGATGCTCTCACAGCTGTCAACAGCTTTCACATTCCCCACGACAGAATGCTCAATCAACGACTGCTCATCTAACGATCTATGCCGGTCCATGTTCAACGTCCTCGGCTTATCAAGCCGACGGATAATATCAAAGACTTCAGTGTCCAGGGATGAATGAGATCCGACCTTCCGCATTCCCAGATCCCGCACACCGTCCATTACCCCTTCTTGTCCCTCTGTTCTGCACGCAAAATACATAATCCACCAAAAATAAGAAGGATTAACCATAAAATCAAATAAGCTGGCGATCCACATCTTCCCACTGATTACTCAAAAATAGTATATCTCAGAATCGACCCGCGTTCAACCGAAGAAACAATTTCTAGAAACCCAAAATGAAGGCAGAGAAATCGAAAGGAAACATCGAAACCGATAGGTATGCAAATGAGACAGATAAAACGAACCCTAGAGCTGCTCGGAGGAGCAATGATCGAGCTACTTTCGCGAACGGAGAAAGCGAGCGAAATCACGGCCCGAGACCGCAGGCGAGGGGAAGTGAGGACACGGGCGAACGGCATTTAGTATTTATAGAGCCGGAGGGAAGCCCATTCGCTGAGAAAATCCTGTGTAAATGGTGCCACTAAAAAACTTTGGAATATCTATTCTTCAACTAACTGGAGGGAAGCCCATTCGCTGAGAAAATCCTGTGTAACAACACATGGTGCCACTAAAAAAGTTTGGAATATTTATTCTTCAACTAACCTCATTGATAATCTCAAAGCAGTTTTGACGGTACTAGAGCTCTTGAACTAGTTCCAGTTAACCGGTGCCGCATAAGATATTCGGGATACATGAACGGTAAAAGTGGTTGTCGTGGCTCGTGACGTGGGGCCGGGAGTTCGTTAATTCCCGCGCACAGTTATTAAATTTACGCTGTTAATTAAGATGTGATTAGTTTGGCGTTAACACTGTTCGCAATAACTACGCAGATGGTTTCTTTTTTTATTATTATTAAAAAAAGTTGACGAGCTTTATTGAATAAAAAACATAAAATAAATACAAAACCCCACACAAAGCAAAAATTTTTTTGTGCGGGCAATTGACGTAGCTTTACGTGCGGCGCAGGATATTTCTGAGTTATTTTCAGGTTATTTTTGAGTTATTTTCCATAATCCGGAAATAATTGAGAAATAACCCGCGGTCAATAACCCGCGGTCTTTATTTTTTATTTTTTGGTTATTTCTGAGTTATTTCGAGATTATTGAAAATAACCCAGAAATAACCTGAAAATAACTCATGAATAACATGCACCGCATGTAGAGGTACGTCAGATATCCGGACAGAAAATGTGCACCAGACAAAAAAGAAAAAAGAACAAAAATTACAATTCTATATAATGAAACACTCAACTACAAAAGAAGAACAAAAAGCTTCAGAGAATAGGAGCAATCATGGATCCCCACAGCAAACTTAAAAAAGGTCTGGAGCATCTCTTCAAAAGAAAGCAACCAGACAGTAAAGTCTTTAAACGAAGCCTGCATATATGATTGTAAGGAAAGAGTTCAGAGATTAAAAGATAAAGCTCAGCTCATCCCAATTTAGCACAAAATAACTCTGACCAGAAACTAAAGAAACAACGGCTCAGTATTAATCCTTAAAAATAAATGGTTGAAAGTAAGTTTCCATCAAGATTTAAATGTTGAGGAATATACCAAGATGTAGCTTATAAAGAATGGCAAAGTCAGTAAGTGTGAAAGGGAATATCATAACTTACATCTAGAAATAATGCCTACTAAAGTAAAGAGCAAGAAAATATGTGAATATCAATTAGAATAACAAATATAAATAAATCAAAGATCATCCTAATGAAGACCATCCACCAAAATTAATTCCACAAAACATTAAAAGGAAAAAGAATTTGACAAATGAAATAGGCGAAATCTTTCAAAGAGGATTCCACAATCTTAGACATAAATTAACAAGCAGAAGAAAACAAAAGCAAACTGCCTGAACAACTAAAATAACATAATAAAAAAAAAGTATGATAAACTTATTTATGTTAAAGCAAACTGCCTGAACAACTAACTTATACCAATTAATTGGAGAATTAGAAGTGTAAAGAGAATGATAAACTTTTTTTATGAGAAAAAATCAAACTATCTCGCCAAGAACAAATAATACCATTAGTAATTGAAATTAAAAAAAAAATCTCTATTTTTAAACACCAGAATAAAAAACTCTATTTTTAAAAATAATAATAATAGTTTCTGAGAAAGTGGAACCAATATTAACTTGAATGTTAACCATACCAAAAGATAATCTAGAATATTTAACAGTCAAGGCATCCACTCTAAGAGAGATACTAATTTTACTAGCAGCTTTAGAAATACCTTTCTCAAACCAACAAAATAGAGAAAGGTTAGGAAGTTTAATCCATATGTGAATTTCCTTAATGGCTTCCCTAATAGGTCAAAAATCTATAGATCATTTCTTAAAAAGAAAATTTTTACCAACAATAAACCAAGGTGCACCCGAAAAAACCATCTCAATATCATCGGGCAATTAAATTTGAATAGAAAAAAACCCTCAGTTAAAGAAATAATTTTCATCAAATCTCTTAACTTCCATATCTTACCAATATTTTGTATAAGACTTTCATAGAAAGGCTTTCTACTTGAAGCACAACCGACTAAATAAATATCTCACTCTTTCTAGCCAATATCAACTTCTTCATCCAAAAAATCCACTTTATGATCAACATAAGGGACATGACAAATTAAAATCATTCGTAGAGGTAACATTCGAAGAGATCAAGCCTTTCCAATTCATAGTAGGTGTCGATCCAGGGGCATATAAAGAGCACGAAGAGGAAGAATGTAATGGAAGGAAAGAGAAATCCGTAAGGAAAAAGAAAAATAAAAACAAAAATGTAAGATCACATAACTTTCCCAAGAGAGAAGGAAAGGAAAAGAAGAAGGAAGAACGTAAACAATCCAGGAGAAAGGGAAGCAAGCCACCAGAAAATACGAAAGGTTTATAGCATCACATAACCATAACAAGAAAACCTAAAAACCAAAAGAAGAAAATGTGAAAAAAAGAAAGAATGAAAAAATGAGACAAACTGCTAGAAAAATCCTAAAGGTCTCTCGCAACACACAACAAACCAAAAGCCCAAAAAATCTAAAAAAATGACACGATAAAAAAGTGAGTAACAAAGATCACATAATTTTCCCAAGAGAAAGGGAAAAGACGCGAAGAAGAAACACATAATAGAGTAAGAACCCAGCCACCAGAGGAAACCATATTTGACTATTGCCATTACACCATTGATGGTTTTTATTTTGGAAGTTTTATATGCATACATGCTGCTCAATTCTCATATACATGTTAAAAAGGTGACTTTCACCTTGTAAAATTAAAATAGTGGTATTTTTTTTAGTTGATTTAGAAGATTTCGGTGGAATAAATATAAAGTCTTAAGTGCTTGAAATGTAATTACATAAGAATTGGGTGGCAAGTATACAAATGCCCCAATTTTTGTGGACTAAATTGAAATTTGGTTCTTAGGAAGTTGATCCCATTTTCATTGAAAATGTCAATTATATAATTTTTTCTATGGACAAAAATAAATAGGGGCATGTATATGCATAACACATGACTACTATACATTTACATATTTAATATTTATATGAACAGTACTCAAATCTTAAAATATCACATAGAAAAATCAACATTACTAATTTTTAAAAGGTTAATACACTTTAACTTGTATAAATAAAATACTCAAAAGGAAACAATTATTTAAGGTGTTAGATATATAAATACAAAAGAATTTTATGATATTTATGCATATCTTCCTCATATATAGAAGAGAAGAGACCAAAATAACTAATCCAAGATAATTAGACTTTACAAAAATAAAATAAAAAAAATCCTTTATATTGTATGGCTTACTTTGCTCATTCTAATAGAACAAAATTTAGAGAATAAATTGGAAAATAATATGATTTGTGCTTGAATTAATAAAAGAATAAGCAAGAACTTATAGAATCATAGCAATGTTTGTACCAAGAGAAAAAGCAAATTGTATGATAGATAAAAAAATATTACCAACGGATAACTTGCATGTGGATTTATGGTATTATGATGGCATTCTCATGGATACCACCACAAGACCATCAAAATACCATCAAATACATACTTATTCGCACATTTCCTGCCCACATGTAATATTTCTTCGATAGACAAACACATTAATAAGATAAGCAGACTCAAAATTTCTTTCTCGTGACATGAAAAATCAAATGTCTCCCCGCATAATAATTAGCACATGAGAAACAATTGGCCTCTATTCACCATGAAAGTGGTTCATCTCACGACCAATTTCTCCCGTCTCATACCATGATAAAAAATTCCTCAAAATATTATGAAAATGTAACGGTAATATAACTTTCTTAAAATAAAAATATTAGAATATTTTAGATTTTCATTCATTTCTTTTCATTCACACTTCGACCCCTCTCATGTCTTTCACTATTTGCATGCTCTTCCTCCTTAGAATCCTCTACCATTATGGCATACTACTGATTCCATTAGTGTTGAATTGAGACCAGCTTTATCATACTATTTAAACAAAAATCACAAAAAATATTTAACACTGCAACACCTATTTCATCTCATCCCCTATATAATTCAAGGATCAAAGAAAGATTTAGTGTCAAAAAATACATCTTGAGAAAAAAAATTACATCACGAGTCCTGATGTAAAATGCATCAAGACTTCAATCACTGCCTAACTTTTGATCTCATTTTGCATTTTTATTATTATTTATTACTAAGGAGACCCGGACTGTATACATGACAGACAATAATTTAAGTCCAGATGCATTTTTACCATCAAGATTACTGATGTAATGTTCTCTCCATCCTAAAGGTCTACTTGTTTACATACATTCCACCCAATTTCTATGTATTTAAATGTCTAACCCAAAAACTTTACTTTTTTACTCTAACGCAACCCAAATCTTTTATATCACATTAAAAAAAGTATATAAGAAGTCAAATATATCTTTTCGTGGATATTTCATACATAGGTAAAGTTGGTATGCATGTAAAAATTGATGTTTATGTGTTATATATGTAAATACAGAAATTGAGTGGTATGTATGCAAATCTTCCAAAAAAATATATATAAGAAATGTTCCCAAGTTTTCAAATCATCTTTCCAATCTTCAAGCAACCAAATCCATGACCCAAGTAATATATGAACTAGATTTAATTTCACCTTCTAATTCACATTATCAAGCATGAAAATATAAACTTCATGTACATTTCAATGAGATTGAGCCTATAATCCTTCCATCTATACATAAACATATATTCTCTTTCTCTGATGCCGCCCAAATGGCTCTATTCAAAATATCAAAAGTAAATAATAATAATAAAATTAAAAAAAATCATAAATCAATCAAAAACTATCTGCTCTAGCCACTGCTCCAGCTAAAGATTCCCATTGTAGAATTACTCCTAATTTCGAAGAAAAATTGAAGGAGTCTGCTTATAACTGCTGCCATTAACTTTCATGGAATGTGGAGTAACTTGCCTTTCATGAATCTCTTCTGAAACATTACTGGCTACAGCATCAGAATTTGGTTGGCTGATGATGATTTCAGTATTTCCGGGTCTGGACCAGATTTTTATGTGTCCTTCGCGGCAAATCGTGACAACGGAATCTTCGGTGAAGATTAAACCGGAGAGAGGATCGACATGGACACGATGAACGGTGAGAGGAGAGAGCTTCGGAACGTCTCGCATGCTCGGAGACGGCTGAAGAGTGCCGATGGGAGTAATGCTATCCCAGTGAGCGGAATTACTTCCGCTGCTAAATGTTGGCGAACCGCCGGTTGGAGGGTACCGTAGAGGAAGAGAAATTTCATCCATTTCAAGGTCCCAGAGAAGTAATTGAGTATCCTGCAAATAAGTTAAGCTCAACATGTTCATCATAGATAATAAATATTTACCAAGGGCTTACTTCAATCATTTTTGTTTTCGGAAATTTACATGTGTAGCGCCCACTTCTTATGCATTTGCCTATCTCATACCAAAATTTTTATTTTTACAAACACAATTCTTATCTATGTATGAAAATGTAGATTTTACTATTGAAAAGTGTGATTGGTGCTATTTTTGGTGTTGTGTTTGTAAAAGAGAGAGTTTTGGTGTGAGATATGTAAATGCATAAGAACTGGGTGCTACGCATGAAAATTCCCCTCATTTTTTGTTTTTTGTTTGCAAGATTTACATACATAACACTCAATTCCTATGTAATACATCGCAGAAGTGACAAAACTCCTCCCTAGATCCCGAAAAAATATTACATCCAAACAGCCAACTGTCGGGCACCACGTCGCATGGGGCCGCTGTATATGGAGACTTGGCGCCCGGCGGTTGGTCGTCCAAACGTGCGCTGTCCGGGTGTAAAATTTTCTCCTAGATCCCACACTAGATAGAAATAACATGAATTAGATGCACCCATTTTTATTAGAAAGCTTAAAAAATAATCATGGGGCAAAGTGCCAGAGAAATCGTTGTACTTAGTTAAATGAATAACAATAATAAATCAAGTGGATCTCTCGTTTACAATTTTATCATTATTGTTATTATTGTTCTGCAAAGTAATTTATAGCAAAAATAGTTGGCATGAAAAGAATGAAGCGCTGACAAAAGTCAAAAGAACTCGTTTAATCTAAGAACACCAAAATATGTGTGATTTCTAGGAAAGAAAATATATATAGAGCGAGAGAGAGAGAGAGATCATTATACTCTGGGCATACAGCTACTTGTAAATTTAGTTGGGGCATTCATATGCATGAACATATCTAACACCCATACTTTGCTTTTTAGATTTATACCACCTAAATCTTTCATAACACATAAAAAAAAAAATATCACCATTTCATTTTAACATTTAAAAAGTGAAAGACATCTTTTCATGCATTTGTAAAGTGGTATGCATTTAAAAATTGAAGTTTAAGGTTAGATATATAAATACATAGAAAATGAGTGGTATGAATGTAAATTTTATTTTGGTTCTCACGCACCAACATGCTGCTATATTATGGTAAAGAAATAACGTAAAAAAGTTTAATTTAAGTTTTCTTGATTTGAATAGATTATACCTGGCCAATAGAACCAAATCGGTACATAGCATTATCTCCCTTTCCATCTGTATTTGGAGCTGCCCAATAAGAATCAAAAGAAACTCCACTTACCTGTTTAATTAGCCCATTAGGTAGAAAACCCTTAAAAGACAAAGTCAAAGAAACTGAATAAAAACTCACCCATGAATTGTGTCCCTCGCCCCATGCCATTAGCTCTTCCATACTCCAAACTTGTACCAAATCATCTTCGCCACCGGTTAATATGTATTTACTATCGGGACTAGCAGAGAAAACGAAAAGTGCAGAAATTATGAGATTAATAAAAATGTTTCTTGGTGTGTCAAATACATTATAACATAAGTAACTTCACCATCACAATCATTATTATTAACCTTATCCGTTCATCTTTCATATTTATCCAATGTCGCTTGAGGTGTTAAAATTATTTAGCATAAATCTATTAGTATAATTATCATTCATTTATCTTAGGTCCACTCCTCCCTTCCCAATCCATCCATGCTAATTGAATCATCTTGTACTCTCCATCATATGGATGCCCTAAACAATGTAACATTGTTCTTCACTACCTTGAATTAATTAGGAGGTATCATCACATTTCTACCATTAATTTTTCCATAAAATCTTAATATTCTCAATTATATCAAAACTCAGACTGACTATAAATAGAATATCTTCACTGCTCAAGACTTAGAGCCATATAATATAATGATATATTTTAGAGTCTGTTTGGGGCAGCGGCAGCTAGAGGTGTAAACGAGCCCAACAAGAGCAAGCCCAAGCTTTGCTCATGTTTGGCTCATTTATATTTCGAGCACAAAAGTGTGTTCGTGTTCGGCTCGTTTGTTTAGCGAGCCGTACAGAAGTTGTTCACGAACAAAGTGTCGATTTGACAACCCTAATCGTGTAACCATAAGAAGTTAAGGGATGAGAAAAAATTTAAAAATTATTGTTTATATTAAAACATCATTTGAATCTAATTTAAAAAATTTTATTCTATTTTCTTAATTAATACTTTTAATTGATTATAAATCTGTGTAGCCTCGTAGTCAATTAATTTATTTGAACATACTACTCATTAATATATATATATATATATATATATATATATATATAGAGAAACAAAATACATATATATATATTAGAAAAAGAATGGTCGGAGGCTATTATACGAGCCCCGATCATCACTCATGTGCCTAAGAATTCGAGTACCACACCCTACACTCGGGGGAAATCGAACCCAAACCAGAGGAGACTTACAACTGACAAGCAGATGCCCGACCAACTGATATGAGTACGCGGCGTATATATATCAGTTGGTCAGGCATCTGCTTGTCAATTATAAGTTCCCTCTGGTCTGGGGTTCGATCCCCCCACCCCCGAGTGTAGGGTGTGGTAATCAAATTCTTAGGCGCATGAGGGATGTTCGGGGCTTGTCGTTGAAAAATAAAAATATATGTATGTATGTATGTATGTATATATATA